CTGGATCTCAGTAGAGATACAAAAATGATAAGCAACAGCTAAAAAGTAAACGTAAGTAAACAGCCAGAAATAGAACCAGAGCTTTCGGACAACACTAGTCCTTCCTCAGTAGCGAGTGAGTGAGGGTTGAAAAAGCCAGATAGTATAAAGTGAGAATTTCATGCAAGCATGATTAGAAACAATAGGCTAGGCTAGGTGGGATTAGAAAAAACAGCCTAAACAAGTAAACAGGAAGGCCAAATCTAAACTTTAGAGGCGTGCCTCAATAAATAAGCCAAATGATTTATCCAGAAGAATATATATATATATATATATATATATATTATATGAAGAATGCGTGCCCACCTGTGTTTCAAAACATGAATATAATATAGCGTATCAGTAATGAAACTAAGAAGTTGAAAGAAAAGAAAAAAAATGAAAGAGAAGAAAGAGAGAAGGCTCGTTCCCACAGTCGTTGATTTTTTCCACTTGACCCGAAGACAAAGGTCATGAAAGCACCGAATGATAAAAGAACCGTACGTAATGATGAAAGGGCCGAAAGGTAAAACTAAAAAGCACCAAATGATAAAAGATCCGTAAGTGTGGCAAAAGCACCGAACGTAATGTTTCAAAGCACCGAATGTAATGTTAATAAAAGCAGCGAACGTAATGTAAAAGCACCGAACGTAATGTAAAAAGCACCGAACGTAATGTAATAAGCACCGAACGTAATGTAAAAAGCACCGAACGTAATGTAAAAGCACCGAACGTAATGTAAAAAGCACCGAACGTAATGTAAAATGCACCGAACGTAATGTAAAAGCACCGAACGTACGGTAATGTTAAAAGGGCCGAATAGCAAATGCGCCGAACGGAAAAGAGCCACCAAAGGCAGTAATGGCGTTCCATAATTACGTACGTGGATTGATATGATGTGGTGATGTTGTGGATTCTCAATATTTTTACGAAGATGGATTCTTCTAGTTCTACGTGGAAGTTAAATTTTATTTTTCTAGCGATGTGCTTTTTCTGCAGATTGAAGTTTTCTCATGCTGCACTTGAACCAGGCATTTATGAATATAAATTAACCAGCAAAAGAGACGTAAGGCCCAATTCATTCTTGTCTTATAATTATATTATTGTTACAAAAATAGTGTAGGGCCTAGGACCTAAGCCTAGGCCTAGCCACAAACCAAGCCTAGGCTAGACCTACTAGACCTAGGGCCTAGGCCTAGATAGAGAGAGCAGTTTAGCTCAGACGGCTAATCTGGTGGTAGCCACTGTGAGATCTCTAGGCATAGGTCCCTCTTCAATTCCATTCGCTGCCTCTCCTTGAACCTTGTGTTTCAGCTAGAGGGCTGAAATACAAGTTACAATTGGATTGTGCACCATCTTTCGGATAAGACGTTTAAGCTGTTGGTCCCGTGTGCATTATGGCCCATGTGCATGTAAAGAACACAGTACACTCTTCGGAAAAGAGTACAGGATTGTTTCAGGTGTACTGCCCAATCAACACCAGAAGGACCCCACTGGAAATAAGTTTTCTGTTTTAAACTTTCGTGGGCTATCCTTGGTGTTTACACCAAATAAATCCAATCCCAATCCAGCTATCTAGGCCTAGGGGCCTAGGACTAGTCCTACAGTACCGACTTAATCTAGAGTCTGGCAGGCCTCTAGGTTATAGTAGGTATGTTAAAAAAAATTTCATCTTCTTTGGATCCAAGTGATAGTGATACAAGTTAATTCTCCAGCATTTAAATAATAAAATAAAGATTATTTGATAAAATTTTAGCTAGTGGTTGATTTTATATAATTTTGTAAAACATATTTTTTAGCAAAAATTTGGGATAGGGATTGTATGTTATAGTTGTGACCTTTCAACACTACGACGAAACTCAAGCGATGTGACAACTGCATAACTATATAATATATTCCTGTCAACAACCCAAATTATCCAATCAAAACTGAAGCTACATATACAAACTACTGTATGTATAAATGATGCTTTATTTCAAAGGAAAACTTTAGTAAACTGTAACCTCGTGACTGATCAATGAAAAAAATATTTTTAAATGGCTCAAGTAAACTTTGACCTGTTTACTTTCTACAAAAGTAAACAGGTCAACAGGTCTACAGAAACTGCGACAATGATAACAGTGTGTGATGTCACTCTTCTAACATACCTAGGCCTAGCTAGGAGAACATAAACAATTCAATTGGGTGTCTATAAAATGAAGACCGAAGACCCAAAAATGAAGACACCTATTTGTTCTCTTTTATTTTGATGATATTATGCCAGGCTGTCACAAAAAAAAAATCAAAATTACGAAATTTTTTGGGCGTCTGTTTGTGAAATTTTATAGGGTCTTCGTTTTACAAAGCGAAGACCGAAGACCCGAAAAACAAAAACCAAAAAAAGATCTATAAAAAATAAGACCATGTTGGTAGGCCAGAAGTACTGGTAGGCAATATTCTAATTAACCAAAACACAATAGTTGCTGACTGAATGCCTAGGCCTAGTGTAGACTACTGTAGGTAGGACCAGACCAAGTTTGACAGCACTACTAGCCTAGCCTAGGCTAATTCTAATCACCTGAAACCGCGGCTACTACATGTAAAATTCCCGGCCCTTCCGAGGTCTGTTACATCTACGGGTAAATTTTAGGTACGTCCCGGCACCACGGTGTTCGTTTTGTGGACACCCATATAAAGTGTATATAAAACGAAGACCCTTAATTATCTCATCCATCCTATGTTGGTGTCACTACCAAATGAATGATGCTGCACATATGCGTCACTATACAATAGTCTTACTGTTTATTTTAACATGGATTAAGTTTATGAATGAAATATTCAAGGCTTTTGTAGGCCCCAAAATACGTGTACCGCTAGGCCAAGCTTTATTTTCATTTAGAAGGTAGAACCGCCAAGACGCACTGTGCCACCAGCAGTGGACGTACAGCATTGGTTGGAACTGGAATAAACAGTATATCATTAAATTGACTCAGATTCAGGCAATAATGCACGTTAAAAAGACGAATTACATAGCATGAAGTGATTTAAAAACATTATTTTCATCACGATTGAGAGAAAAAAAAATGTGGGTCTTCGTTTTTCTGGTCTTCGGTCTTTGTATATGTAGACACCCATATAGGGTGCTATAAAACGAAGACCCAAATATTTCTTGAAATTTCCTCATTTTATTCCGATGAAATAATGAAGATGAAGACGAAGAAAATTATACAAGCAGGCGCCCAAAAAATGTTGTAATTTTGATTTTGTGACAGCCTAGTGTATTATCAAAATTAAAGAGAAAAAATAGGGATCTTCGTAGACACCCCAATTTAATTGACAATAAATATAGTTTCACATTGATGTGAGTAATTTACAGTTTAGATTACAAAATTGGTTGAATATTTAGAGAGTTAAGTCAGGGATGTCACCAGCTTTTTGGAGTGCCGGTCGGCGATCATCACACGTTTTTCTATTAAAAACCAAAAGGCCTAAGTCGAGGAGGCCTAGGCCCAAGGCTAGCTGACGCGATTTTTTTAGGCTAGGCCCAGGTAGGCCTAGACCAGAATTTGAGGAATGCAACAAAACAGATGAAGATGAGACTTACTGTGGGGCTAATTAAATTCAATAGTTGACATGCTTTGTTTTAGATTAAAAAATAATAATGAACAAATCCCGGCGACAAAGCGTCGATCCGACTGTCAACTTCATATGCTTGAAGGTTACAGCTATTCATGTACCCAGCCGCATTGTTTGCCGTAATTTCACATGTTTGACGATTACCACGATGAATGTGTATGTCACTGATTCATGTGCACTCATTTATTTATTTGTCCATTACACACATTATATCAATTATAATTGAAAGTGAAAAATTTAAAATACTAAATTTAAAACACCGAAAGGTCCACTGATTAATCTCAGATAAGAAAGTATAATACATACTCCAAGTATTGAAATACACGCCATCGTGTTGGGATTCAATATTTCGACATTAATTATGTCATCATCAGGAATGAAAAATTATCCATATTAGCAAGCTTAAATGCACTAGTACCAAAAGTGTTTAACCAATCAAAACATTACCTCTAGTAGGTGACTTAGCAGTGATTTAAACAAAAGATCAAAGCATTCTTACTCTAATGATCAAAGATACCTACAAAAACAAAGAAAGCTCTTTTGAAGCTCTGAGCCCATTGTTAAGCAAAGGGTGTAGTCTACAAATAGCGAACGCTTCTTTAAACAATAGGATAGACCATGTTAGTACTAGAAAATATTAAACCTAATTTATTACTTACATTACAGACGACATTATCATTTTCAAGTATACCCTGTAATCCTAAAACATATTGGAATGCCTCACAGTTTTTAACATGATCAAATATAACACTATCAGATCGTGAAGAATGTTCTCTAAGTCTAGTTATTAAGCACCTATCTGTCTTACCAATATAATCACTATTGCAGCCTGGACATTTAAAATGATAGACAACAAAACTAACTTCTGTACTCCTTAGGGGTTTGATCCTTAGTAGATATAAAATGAGAAACATTTTTATACTGCCATAAAGTTATGAATTTTACCTCTTTAATTAAGTGTTTCTTTACCTTATTTAAACATCTACGTAAAATGAACTCACCTGGTTTTCCTAGATAAGGCAATCTAACCCAAATCTTAATCAAGCTATCATCAGTAGGCCTATGTATACATTTAGGTTCATTTAATTTCTTAAGTACATTATTAACAACTTTTAAAGGGTACCCATTCCAAGACATAAACTTGATGTTATAACCTGATGTTACTAAGCTCTGTTTGAAGTTTATCAGGAGTACACAATCTGTGGGCTCTAGAAACTAAACTACGAATCCAGGAGATCTTATGGTTCCATGGAGCAAAGCTATCATAATGGACATATTGACCTGTATGTGTATTTTTACGATATACACTCATACCTGTCTCTTATACACATCTAGATGTAAACTTAATAGTACCTGATTCAATAAGTTTAGGAACAATAGACTCTTCTAGTTCAGTCATTAAAATATTAGTTAAAACTGGGCCAAGAGGCGAACCCATTGAGACACCATCAGTTTGTTTATAAAATTCATTATTACATGTAAATACAGTTTTAGTACAGCAATCTCTAAGTAGCTTCCTTAGCGAATTTTTCTTAAGGTTAGTAGATATCAGTTTCTTATTGTAAACCCTATCAAGAATTATATTAATTACCTTAGTAAGGGGAACATTTGTAAACAGAGATTCAACATCAAAAGATACAAAACGGTAACCTAAATTATATAAATTATTTGGTATAGCTTTAATGCGGCCAGCAGCATCAAAAGAATCTTTAAGGACAAAGTCATTAACCGTTAGAGGGCCTAATAAGTTTGATAAGTACATAGCTACTGAATAATAACAAGTAACTGTCGTGTCAATAATAGGTCTTAGGGGTGGAATATTATCAAAATCTTTATGTAATTTAGGTAGTCCATGGGCTCTAGCAGGCATGGTTGATACCGGACGAATTTCTTTGTATTCAGTTTCAGTTAGTTCATTTCTATTAAATAGTGTCCGGAGGTAGGCTTGTAAGGAGTTAAGCTGCGTGGTTAATGAACAGTTAGATAGTTTCTTAAACTTAGTTGAATCAGAGAACAAGTTTGTCATAGATGTGATATAATCAGTTTTCTTCATTATTGCAACACCATTTCCTTTATCAGGTTTAAGAATTACATACTTATTACGTAAGATTTTTAAAGTATTAATACGTTTGGCATCATTCAATTCAATCAATTTAAATTTCGGTTATCAAAGTCAAGAAAGTTACATGTCATTGCACGAATTGAGTTCTTAATTTTCTCATGTTTAATAAATGATTTAGGTAGAGCATCAGCATTATTAAGTTGTTCCCAAATTGATTCGGCATAAACAAACATATCAGAGTCCTTAGGTCGTGTAGCTAATCCATTACGGATACCAAATGTTAAAGACAGATTCTTCTTCCTTAGATAATGTTTCGCCAGTTAAGTTAGTAATTATATGTTTAGGGTTCTTACACGTTCCATTGATTATTGCATGTTCACGTAGAAGGT